CCACTTACCCATACAAGCATGGGCAGCAATCATGCAAACTTCTCTATAATATGTCTCATTTCTGTCATGTAGCAGGAGCTCACAGAGATTCTCTTTAATTTCTTGGCTTTTTCAACCAAGAGGATAGGACTTTAAGTTCAACAGTTTGTTAGTTCAGAAATAAATATATGTTTATTTTTACCATTTAAAAGAGCAATAGACTATCATTGTGCGAATCTCAAAAATGAATAAAAATCAGTTTGCAGACACACCTGAGGAAGGGTGGTCAAATAGAATTAGAAAATGGAGGTAGATAGGTATTACTGGGTGTCAGCAATTTTGTAGAATAAGCATTGGCTTCTTTTCAAGTAAATGCGTGTATATATTTGTAGTTTTCTCTGCCTAAATATAAGAATAATTTAAAGTTTTTTAGAAAAGCCTTTGAAATTCTGATATCTGATATATAAAATTCTACCCAACTTCTACTTGTGTGGAATCAGTTTTGCTATCTTTCAAAGAGCCTACAAAGTAAGATTCATGAACACTGAATGTGTTATATCTTATAATGGATAGGTTCATTGTTTTATTTATTATATTTATTATAAGTAAAGAGGTAATGGCATTGTTGCTGCAAATAATTTCTTTTTAGACCCTGTGGAACCTTTAGTGAATACTGAATGGCACAAAGGATTTATGTAGGATTGATCCATGTTTTAAAAAATAACGATATATACTGTGAAGCTATAACTTGACAGTAATGCTTGGGAGTATGCTATGAAATCCCTTCAAAGATAGTACTCCTCCTAAAAGAGAAATTTTGGTACTCCGATATGAGTTATAAGACAGATTACCTTTATACCACTTCTTACTCTATTGTGAGCATATCTGTGTATATTCATTCATGTAGACTAAGTCTTCCCCCTAATTTCAAAGAACAATTTAAGACCTTTCATTTCTGACTTGAGTAAAGTAAGTACTGACCCAGTGGGGTTTGATTTTTTTCTCCAGTTAAGTGATCAAAGCTAAATCATCAAAGCCTGACTGTCTTACAACAGATTCTAATAAGTTCTAAGTTGGCCATTCTTCTTAGTGTTAATGAAAGCAAAAGATGACATTTGCATTTTTGTCATCTCCAGTTCAAAGTGTTTGTCATATTATTAAATCAGAATCACCCTGAACGATTCCACATTAGTAGGATCTGTCTAGCATTCCCCAAAAGCTGTCCCTGCCAGAACAGAGACCCATTTCTACATAAGTGGTATAGCACCTAAATACATAAATGTTGGAATCAGGTATGTCTCGATTACTTAGAACCAAGTAATCATGAAAGGAAAATGTGGATAATCTGGAGTTCTCACAGAGTCCTTCACCCACTGTAGCCTCCTAACCCCGCAAATGTTCTCCGGTCCCCTGATGTACCATGGGTTCCTCCATCACATCCCTCACATCTCCCCACAACGTTTACACACACAGCTATCAACAGCCTTTGTGCCAGCTCTGCTTTGTTGTCTGTCTTTGTTCTGCTTGGGGGTATTCTTCCATTCCTCAATTAGCTTTATTAACCAAGAGGCATGAATGAGTGGAACAGGGAATGCAAAGGGGTGTGTGTGTGTGTGTGTGTGTGTGTGTGTGTGTGTGAGAGAGAGAGAGAGAGAGAGAGAGAGAGAGAGAGAGAGAGAGAGAGAGAGGAGAGACAGAGAGACCTACAAAACCAACAGACTTTTACGTGGTTACTTAGCCATGCTCACCCTCACATTGAGAATGTACTACTGGTCTTTGAATGACCTAGCAGTCCCCAACCTTTTTGGCACCAGGGACCGGTTTCATGGAAGACACTTGTTTTTCCAGACAGTGGGGATAGGGGGGTGTTGTGGCGGGGTGGTTGTGGTGAAGAGCTCAGGTGGTGATGTGGGGCCCATTTCCTAACAGGCCACAGTCCAGTAATGGGCTGCAGCCCAGGGGTTGGGGACCACAGAGTCCTAAACCATCATGCTCTGCTGAGTGTGTCCCTGCAATTAGTACATTATCCATAGCAAAAGTGCAGCCTTTGGCAAATAAATTTTTAGAGTTAGGGCATTTTATTTTTAATAACTCTTTTTTCATAGAAATGCTGAGACTTTGGGCTAGCGAGTTATTCATATGATCTCTAAATATGCAAAAGTTCAGAAAGCCTTTGCAGGTATATTCTCTCCTAGTTATATAAAAATTAGAAATGCTGAATAAAATGAGGGGATGTGCTAAAGAGTATTTGATTTGAAATAAATAAAATCCATACGCTTAAAACACTGTATATAGCCAAAATTTCCATATTTGCTATAGATCTGTTCTCATTGTTAAGGGGATTTTATCCAAATGTTTTGTTATTGTTGGCAAGAAAGCTCCTGAATCTGCCCTCAGTGATTTGTTTTGTTCAGTCTTGGCTTCTGAACCAAAAAAATAACCACTTATTACTTTGCCAAAAATTTAGCATTTCTACTAACGTATTTCTTGACAATTGCACAATATCTTGGCCATCATGAAAATCATTTTGTTTAAAATATAAGTATATACGATATAAGTATATAAAAAGTATATAAAAAGTGTAAGTATATAAGATACACAAATACACAACCCCCCTCCACACACATACATATTTATACGTATTCAAGCTAAAGGATGGCTCTATGCAAAATGTGAGATCCAATTATTTGTATACTTTGAGGGAAAAGATAAAGCCAAAAACATGTGTTTCAGTTTGTTTTCCATTGTCAAGAGGTGAGGAGTGGGGAATATTGTGAGTAATGGATAATTTATCCTTATCCTCAAATTATCAATTATATGAGTTCTTAGGAGCAACATGTTATAAACACTGTGTATGCATATTTACATAGGAATATAACACAAATAACACTAAGATTGAATTTGGGGGATATGTTTAAATGTCCTCCAACAGAAAATCAAGTTATTTTCTTGATTTTTAATTATAATACCAGTTCAAGAGAGAAGTATTGTGGGAAGGCATTTGTATTTTCTTAGAGCAGAAAGTATAAAACTGACTGTAGAATTTCCTGTTGTAACCAAGAATGAAGAAGAGCTGCAAGCCATTTGCTTCCTGAGTGGCCACATTCCAGCTGTGCAGACCGGTCACAGCACATCTGCCAATCAGAATGGGCCCCAGAGGGAAGCCCTTGGATGCTGAGTCTTGTTTACATGCATAGTGACTCTGTTTCTCCCCTCCTCTTGTGTATTGTACCACTAGGAAGATTAGTGGGGATATTTGCTATTACATGCCTAAATATACTGTGTGAACCTAGGATCGCAGCCACAGCAAATGACGTTCCGGACAGAGTTTTAGCTCACCTTTAGCCTCAGGTAAGAGTTGTTGCTTTGTTATGTGAGGACAGCTGATCTGTATTCAGTGTTTACCTTCACTTTAAGACATTATGCTTTACTTTTGTTAGGAAAACTAGCTGGCTGAAAGCTGGAGAGGAATGATTGGAAAAAATGTGCCCCGTATTACTATGACTTAAAAATTTTAGTACTCGACAAGTGAAAACCATGATATTTTTATTTCAGGGAGGGGCAAAACCCAGTTAAATTAAAACAGAAAAGTTCAAAAGCTGCAGTAACACTAAATCACAGTGTGGAGAAATTGGAACCAGAAATATATTAACATTGTTTGGAGAGCATTGTATCTACACAAACATGCTTTACTGTGAAGCTTTCTACTATTAGTCTTTCAGAGAACAGTGTCTTCATGTGTACTAAGTCTTTGGCTTTAAAAAACATTTCTTTTTTATTATGAACTCATACAGAAAGAATTGTTACACACACTTAACTGTATAAATCCTATTCCGTTTCTTCCATATTTCTTTCTAGAAATTTAGAGTATGTTTTCATTATCCTCTTTATGCTATTCCACCAGCAATAAAATGAGGGAAAAATAAAGAATTCTTGTCTGATCTTTGCTTTGCTATTAAATTCTATCCTGTTAGCATTAATTCAGAAGATACTATTGAAAACTGTGTTTTGATAATATTCCATAGTATTTTTTTAAAGTCATTGCACAGGACCATATTGTGGTTTGTATCTTACTTTCTGTTGTTAATTTTTTCATAACACTGAGACTTTGTACTTCATTTTTTTTTATTTTTAAGCATATACTGGAAAAAAATCATAACATTAGAAAAACATAACCTGTGGTTTTTGTGGTTGTTTCTCTTGTATGTGATAGTCTCAAGGTTGATGAATAGCATTTAAAGCAGTCTGGAGAGTCACTTTTGAAAAGTTCAAGCAGCTGTGCTCTTATTTCTTACCCTATGTATAGCAGGGTTTCTCAACCTCAGCACTATTGACATTTTGGGAAAAATAGTTCTGTTGGGGGCGGCTGCCCCGTGCATTGTAGGACCTTTAGCAGCATCTCTACCCACGAGAGCTCTCTTCTCCCCAGTTATGACAACTGAAAATCTTTTATATGTAGCACATTACATCTAATTATTGGTGAAACATTGAAACCCAACTTCTGAAACGTTCTGGGTGATAGATAGTTAAGGATGAGGCTGTATTGGTCTTAGTATTTGCAGATGTTGTTGTAGCTGACTGCTCATTTTTCCCCCTCCCATTCTGTTAGAAGTTTCTGCCAACCATGATTCATGGAATGATATTTTTGAGCTGAGTAATCTGTGGCTTTTCAGTTTCCTTGCTTTCTTTCCTCAGCTAAGTCTGTTTTGGTTTTAGCAAAGTGTTTAACAGAGGAAAGATCTTTTAAAATGAAGTAATACATATAATGATATATTTTCCAAGTAAGTGATTTTAACAAACCATAAAAAGTTTTTATGCCTGTTCTTCGTTGTGTCCTTTCTACTTCCTCTGTCAGGCAGATCCTCTCAAGGCTGATGAAGAGCCTTACACAGGGAAGACACAACTCCCTGTGAACAGTCCTTTGTGAAATCTAATGGTATGGCAACTAGTATTTAAGAAATTCTTTTCTCTGGCTTTTAAAGAGAATTTTGATGTATAACTCTTACCTTTCTTTACAGATCGCAACGGACGAAATAAACCAGAACATCGTTCTTCAAGGTATGAATTTATAGTATTTAATAATCCTGTATAAAGCTTTTCATTTGAAAAATATTGTTTGGAAGCAATGTAAGTGTCCCTTTTAGAGTAATGGTATATTGGAATCTTCTGTGGCATTCAGAGAAGCTTCACGAGGGAAATATTGTTCCTTCTCTGAGTAAAAATTCTTTATAAAATTATTGACTACCTGGAAGACATGTTTTATTTTGAGAATTCCTATCAATAACAAATACATTTTCATAAAAATTATTTTATTCTCATTCCTTCCTTTTGTGATTTATTTTCCTCCCCTTTAACCAGGATTTTTATTAAGTGTGTATTGCTGTTTTCCTAATCATAAAGCTAATATAGGCTCATTATAGAAATTTAGAAAATATTTTAAAAATTTAGAAAATATTTTAAAAATACGAGGTATGAAAAAAAAGCTAAATAAAACAAAATCTATCCTGCCTTCCATCAGCCAGAGATGGCTGGCTACTGCTAAAATTTTGGTGTATTTTTTCTAGACTTTTTAGGTTATATTAATATATATGTATGTATACAAGTGGATTCTTTTAAGTTCTTGTTAGGTAATTTCAAATGGCAAGGAAGGTTTTATCACTTAAGCTTTTCATTCACACTGAGAATGTGTTTCACTAGACCTTCACCAACACCAAAGAGTATTTTTAAAAACCCTTGTCAAACTTACAGGTAGGAAATTATCTGACTTCTTTTCCTAGGCAAGACTGACAGGCTACATTCAATATTTCTAACCCAATTTTATGAAAGGTTACAATTTTTCTAATATTAATTTCTCCTTACTTCACATTCTATAACTTTTTGTACTTTTTGTTGTAGGAACTAATAATGTAAGGCATTCATTGGGTTGACTGTAGTGGTAAACTAAAAACCCTATTGCTTTTTCAAGGAAGCAAATCTTAGAATTCACTGACCTCTGTGAATAAAAATATAAAATCTATGAAAACTGTATTACTTAGAATAGCAAGGCATTTTTCAGAAATTGTCAGTCAAAATAAATTAGTGAGACCTAATCTGAGAGAAGGATATAGCTGGATATTTAAAATGTTGACTGATTTTTTTTTTCCAGGTATAATTTACATACATTAAAATTCACTCTTTTTTTGTGTATGGTCCTATGAGGTTCAACAAATGTATACAATTACACATCTACCACCACAATCATACAATCATAAAACAGTTTGTAGTATTGATTTTTTTTTTTTTTTTTGAGACAGAGTCTCACTCTTTTGCCCGGGCTAGAGTGCCATGGCGTCAGGCTAGCTCACAGCAACCTCAAACTCCTGGGCTCAAGCAATCCTTCTGCCTCAGCCTCCCGAGTAGCTGGGACTACAGGCATGCACCACCATGCCCGGCTAATTTTTTCTATATATTTTTAGTTGTCCAATTAATTTCTTTCTATTTTTAGTAGAGACGGGGTCTCGCTCTTGCTCAGTCTGGTTTCGAACTCCTGAGCTCAAACAATCCGCCCGCCTCGGCCTCCCAGAGTGCTAGGATTACAGGCGTGAGCCACCGCGCCCGGCCTGATTTTTTTTAATACTTAAAAAAATAGCCCAAAAAAGGCAATGTAAGAGAGAGGACTTTAACAGCGTGCTTAACTATGGGTAACATAAAGTTGGAAGGGTAAAAAATAGGATGATAAAACCAGAATCCCTAAGACCCTTGGGCATACTAAAGATTGAACTGAATTGAGCAATATGAATTTTAATAGGAACAGATGCAAACCCTTACACTGAAACACTGGTGGAACATAAATAGATAAGGAACATGTGACTTAGCAATATGTTTGACAAAGGCTAGAGGACTTAGTTCTTCATAAATTCACCATGAGTCAAAAACGTTATGTCATTACCTCCACCTACCCCCCCCAAAAAGTCTGCATTGATTTGATTACACTGAAAGAAGTTTAATATCCAGTATATTAAAAGTGATAGCTCTAGTCCACGTTTTTGATACTCTATCCAATTCTGGGTCCACAGGACCTTGCAAAATTGAAGTAGGCAGGGTAGTGGCTATATTGATACCAGGTGAGGTGCTTAAAAAATAACAAAACAATCCCGTGCCCCACTCCAGAGATTCTATTCAGTAAGTCTGGAGTGAATCTTCAAAATCTGTATATTAAACAAGTCCCCCAGTTCTTCTGATACATAGTCAGGTTGGGTCTGATGGGTCTAGAAAATATAATAGCAGCTGAGTTGGGACAGGGAAGATGAAAAAGAAGAGTGTAGGATAAAAGTCCTACATCATAGGAAGTCTGGCATGAGAAATTGGGAGAATTTAGCCTAGGTGTGGAAGTTTGGGGAGGTGTATAGGACAGAAATGATAACTGGCTTCAGACACCTGGAAGCTGGTACATAGAAAAGACTAACAGAATTGTTCCTCATAAATGCTGTTCCCTATTAACAGAAGCCCAGGCCCTTGAGGAATAGATGATTCCAGGACTGGGGCAAGGGAAAGTGCAAGATGAACCTGGACTCTTGGTTGTGACAGAAAGCTAGGAAGTGCTCAACAAATGGGGTTATGTCAAAAAGACATAGGTGGTAGCTTCAAGGGATTTTCCACTGGCCAAATTTGAGGCAATTTGAGTATTAAAAAAAAAAAAAAAAAGACAATACGGCCAGGTGACTCACTCCTGTAATCCTAGTATTTTGGGAGGCTTAGGTGGGAGGATCGCTTGAGCCCAGGAGTTTGAGACCAGCCTGAGCAAGAGCAAGACCCCTGTCTCTACAAAAAATAGAACAATTAGCCAGGCATGGTGGCATGTGCTTATAGTCCCAGCTACTTGGGAGGCTGAGGCAGGAGGATCACTTGAGCCCAGGAGTTTGACGTTGCAGTAAGCTATGATTACACCTCTGAACTCTACCCTGGGTGACAGAGCGAGACCCTGTCTCTAAAAAAAAAGAAAAAAAATCTAGGATTAAAAAATCCCAAATTAAAAAAAAATGGATTTACATCCATTAAAGTACAGAGAAAAAAATTTGAGGGGACAATTAGGAAAATTTAAATATGGATTTGATTTTAGATAATATTTTATTAACATTATCTTTTTTTTAGGTGTAGAATAGGAACGTTATTATGTGGGAGAATGTGATTCTTAGGAGATAGGCGCCAAAGTGTTAGAGATGATGTTGTTTTATGTTTGCAACTGAATCTCAAATAATTCAGGGGGGAAAAACACAACATGAGTGATAGAAAAGTGAATGTGGGAAACATTAATAATTGGTGAATAGATGAAAGGTACGTAGGTGTTAATTTTACTGTTTCTTCAACTTTTCTGTAGACTTGAAAATTTCAAAATAGGAACTGTTCTATGTGTTCCTGGGAGTCCCAGAGGGCAGAATGCACGTTTGTGGGTGAAACTGAGGGGGGATGGATTTCGGCACAATATGAGGAAGAATTTCTTGACAGAGCTGGTCAAAGAATCAAAGATGGAATTGGCTACTCTATGAAGGAATGCTGTCAAGGAAAAGCTAAACAAGCTAGCTAAAAATAGAGAAGATTCATGCAAATCATTATTTTAGATGGCTCCAGCCCCTTGCTTACTAATAGTCAATCAATATATCTTGAGAATCTGTATTCTGGCTCAGGATACAATAGAAAACAAGGAAAAGTCTCCAGCTTCATGGAATGTCCATTGTTTTGGATTTACAGTCTCAATCTCTGAGAGTCTTATTTGCCCTAAAGTCAAGTTCCAAGTCTTCACAGTTATATTTCAGGCAATACTGTGGTACTCTTGAGGGTATTCAGAAAGTATTCTGATTATAATTTAGTCTCTAATTTATACTGTTGAATTCTCTAGGATTGTGCTACTAGTCTTGATAACCCTAGCACTTAGAGTGCCTGGTCCACAATAAGCACTTAATAAATGTTTGTTGAATAAATGAATGCCAACTGTTTTTCAAGAAGAGAAAGGGAAATATCAATATTTTTCCCTTGCAAACTGCGAAGAACCTGACTCTCAAAATCTCGCCCATGACTGTTACTGGATATGTTTGTCACAGCAGCAAGGAGTAATGTCCTGTAAGAAAGGAGAAATGTTTTTTCAGGGAAAGGCCATTGTTTTCTGTTCAGGGTGTCTGCTGAGATTGGCAGTGACCTATTCTTCTCCTGCCATCCTCAGCTGAGCAGGGCTACCCTGCCAGGCTAGCAGTGCATCAAGCTGATTAATACCCGCTGCATCAACGGACAGAAAGAAGAAAATATAAACAAAAAGTCACTTAATTTTGGTATGTTTTTTGGTTCTCCTCGGGCCACTCAGCAATAAGAATAATGGGCTCAGAGCCCAGCAAGGATAAGAGAAATGCATTTTTCTTGTTTGTGTTTTTACAGGCCAAACAATCCTATAGCTTTTATCTGAGAGGTGAATAAATTTGGGACATCTGCCTGTTCTTTCATTTCAGTGCTGAAATTAGAAGGAAAGCATAATTCTTGTCAAGTTAAAGGAAAAGTTGTATCATATATAGTCCAACACTAAGACTCTAAGCTAAAAAAACACTGTTTAAGCATTTTTTTTTTAATATTTTTTTTTGAGACAGAGTCTCACTCTGTCGCCTAGGCTAGAATGCAATGGTGTGATCATAGCTCACTGCAACCTCAAACTCCTGGGCTCAAGCGATCCTCCTACCTCAGCCTCCCGAGTGGCTGGAACTACAGGTGCTCCCATCTAATTTTTCTATTGTTAGTAGAGAAGGGGTCTCACTCTTGCTCAGGCTGATCTTGAACTCCTGAGCTCAAGCAATCCTCCCACCTCGGCCTGTCAGAGTGCTAGGATTATAGGAATAAGCCACCGTGCCTGGCCTATTTAAGCATTCTTAAGAGGCTTGCTGGGTGTTTTTTAAATTACTTTGTTTTGATGTGGATTTTTTTTTTTATTTGCGTGCTGCTAATCAATCAATGTGGAAGTCAGAAATATCTAAGTTCTTCTTTTCTTAACTTTATTAGTTTAAACATACCATTTCCCAAATTAATGTCCCTCATAACACTCTTCTGTAAGATATTAATCAGTATGTCGAAATAAATGTTTATATACAAAAAAGTTTGTGAAATGGTAAGTTAAACAAAATTAGACATATTTCTTTACTGTGATACTACTCAGAGTCTTCTACACTAAAGTACATTATAAACTCCAAGTAAGAGCTATATTACACGTCAGTTTAAAAATTTATTTGAATTTATAACTTCTTTTCCCAGACATAGCTATTAATAACATCTATAAAAAAGCGCCATGGAATAGTAATTTGGAAAACTAATTGAAAGGGAGTATGGGCCTGGCGCAGTGTCTCACGCTTGTAATCCTAGCACTCTGGGAGGCTGAGGTGGGAGGATTGCTTGAGCTCAGGAGTTCGAGTCCAGCCTGAGCAAGAGTGAGACCTATCTCTACTAAAAAAATAGAAAAATTAGCCAGGTGTTGTGGCGTGGGCCTGTAGTCCCAGCTACTCTGGAGGCTGAGGCAGGAGGATCGCTTGAACTCAGGAGTTTGAGGTTGCAGTGAGTTATGATGATGCCACTACACTGTAGCTGAAAAAAAAGAAAAAAGAAAGAAAACGAAGTAGGAGCTAAAGATAATAATGAATGTTAAGTCCTGTGGCAATCAGTGCCATGAATGGAAAATTAGGAGCTCATTTTACCACTACACCAGCTCTAAATAATAGATCTCAATGACTTATTAAGTCCAAATAACCAACTACTTCATCTCAAATGTTTTGCCTACTTACAAGGAAATATTTTTTCCTTGTAAAAGAAGGCAGCAAAGAAGGCAGCAAAACAAAGAACCTGAAATCTGTTTTTCAAAAATTATCTGATAATTAAAATCAGATAAAATCCTGTTTGCTACTCATTCATAAAATTTAATGAGATTTCATTAAAAGTCACAAAAATTTAAAAATGAAAATTCAGGCCAGGCGCGGTGGCTCACGCCTGTAATCCTAGCACTCTGGGAGGCCGAGGCGGTCGGATTGTTTGAGCTCAGGAGTTCGAGACCAGCCTGAGGAAGAGCGAGACCCCGTCTCTACTAAAAATAGAAAGAAATTAATTGGACAACTAAATATATATAGAAAAAATTAGCCGGGCATGGTGGCGCATGCCTGTAGTCCCAGCTACTCGGGAGGCTGAGGCAAGAGGATCGCTTGAGCCCAGGAGTTTGAGGTTGCTGTGCGCTAGGCTGATGCCATGGCACTCACTCTAGCCAGGGCAACAGAGTGAGACTCTGTCTCAAAAAAAAGAAAATGAAGCTCTTTCGCGTGCTCGCTTCCAAGATGACAAAGAAAAGAAGGAACAACGGTCGTGCCAAAAAGGGCCGTGGCCATGTGCAGCCTATTCGCTGCACGAACTGTGCCCGATGCGTGCCTAAAGACAAGGCCATAAAGAAGTTCGTCATTCGGAACATAGTGGAGGCCGCAGCTGTCAGGGACATTTCTGAAGCGAGTGACTTCGATGCCTACGTGCTTCCCAAGCTGTACGTGAAGCTACATTACTGTGTGAGTTGTGCCATTCACAGCAAGGTAGTCAGGAATCATTCTTGGGAAGCCCGCAAGGACCGAACACCCCCACCCCGATTTAGACCTGCGGGTGCTGCCCCAAGACCTCCACCAAAACCTATGTAAGGAGTTGAGTCCTTGAGGACTGAAGAAAAACTATCCATTGGAAAAAAATAAAATGGAAATTATACTTAATATAGCATGTTGAGTATGTCTGTGCCAGATAGAGTGGGAGTTTGTGTTACACCAGGTGTTCAAATGTGAATTGTCACATAATATTTTCCTTGGAAAGAAAGCTAACCTGTGTGAATTAAACTTTAACTCTTGCAGTCTTATCCTTGGCCTCCCCAGTTTGCATAGCTTTGTGGGAAAAGGAGGGAGGGGAGGCGTCTGAGTGTTGGGTGAATTCAACGTGGCCAAATTTAAGTTGGCATCCTAAAAATGGATGAAGATCTCTAGGAGAGCAAGGGAAAACTGAACATTGTTAGTGAGGGGCACATTGGGAAGTGACTTAGACTGCGGTGTTCATACCTTTGGTCGGTGACTTTAGAAGTGCACACTTGGATAGCTTCACAGCTGTTCCAGGATTCATAGTCAGATCTTCAACTTCCTACCTTGTAATTGGTCTGCTGGTAAGCCAGTTACTCAATGTTCATCTTTCTGTAGTGCATTTGTGGGAATCCCTTCAGAGGATGGAGAAAAGATATACCTTATTTCGTCTGTGTGACAATGGTTTATTTGTACTATAAATCAGAAATAAAAACTTCAGGGGCAAAAAAAAAAAATGAAAATTCAACAAAGTGAATCTAAAATTTAAAGGAAGAGCAAAAATAACCAAGACAATTTCGAAGATTAAGAAGGGGAGGTGGCCAGGTTCGTGGTTCACGCCTGTAATCCTAGCACTTTGGGAGGCCAAAGCAGGAGGATCACTTGAGGCCAGGAGTTTGAGACCAGCCTAGGCAACATAGTGAGACCCTGTCTCTACAAAAAATAGAAAAATTAGCTGGGCACGTTGGTGCATGCCTGTAGTCCCAGCTACTTGGGAGACTGAGGCAGGAGGATTGCTTGAGCCCCTCCCCGCCAGGAGTTTAAGGCTACAGAGAGCTATGATGACGACACTACACTCCAGCCTAGGTGACAGAGTGAGACCCTGTCTCAAAAAAAAAAAAAAAGACGGGGAGGTGGACTGTTGTATGTAATTATGATATTTTTTTTTGTCAGCAGAGAAATAGGTCACTGGAACAGAATAGCATTAGATGAATACATATAGTTCTACATCATGTGACATAATAGAAGCAGGCTTACAGATCAGTGAGGGAAAGTGGATATGTCAACAAATGGTGCTGGAACAATTGATTGATATTTTTAATCTATATGGGATTCGATTTATCTTATGATGTAGAAATGTAAACACGTGAGTATAGAAAATATCTTTATGACTTTGGGGTAGGGAATGAGTTCTTAAACAAAGTTCAACAAGTACAAACCATAAAGAAAAAGATTGATAAATTTGACTGTGAAAATTTAAAATCTATGTGCATGAATATATCAAAAGCACGTGAAAAAGGAAGTCACGACTATGCAGTGCGTACAGGCAACAAAGGTTAGTGTCCAGGATAAATAAAAAACTATGCATCCGAAAGAATAAGACAAATAAATCAGTAAAATATGGCAGGGAACTCACAAAAGATGAAGCCTTAGTAGCCAATTAATATATGAAAAGATTCTTCACCTTGCTAGTATTAAGATGTGTGCTAATATGATAATGAGATACCATTTCACTTCCATAGAATTGGCACAGAAATCTCAAAGATTGCCAATTCCAAGTATACATAATAGTACGTAATGTGGAACAACAGTAAGGAAGACTTTATTCAGGAATGTCATGACAGGTGTAGGGATCACTGCAATGGGATTTTGCAGTGGGGGAGAGGGATTGGGCTCAACTCCTAACATAGCATGGGCACATGGGAATTTATAGTAAAGGATCAGGGCAGGGGGCAGTAGACAGAAAATTACTAAGAGAAATAAACATCAGAGGTAAAGGCAGTTCCAGTGAAGGATGAAGAACTTGATCAGACATCAAGTGTGATCAGATATTGAAGATGGGGGGTTCTTAATAAATTTACTCCGTAGGGTTCTTTCCTAAACCTAGATTTTACAAGGAAGTACACAGATAGACCTAGGAGAAGTTTCAGAAGCCTAACTAAAGTTTGGCCAAGCAAAGAATCTTTGTCAGTTCAAAGTAGCACTGTTTGAATTAAGGGAGCTATAGCTATGTGTAACAACATAGATAACTCTCAGAAGCATAATTTTAGATGACAAAAAGCAAGTTGTGGAAGTATAAATGTAGTATGATACCATTTATATAAAGCAGAGGTCAGCAAATGGGTCAAATCTGATCTGCCACATCTTTTTGTAAAGTTTTATAGGAACTCAGCCATGTTCATTTGTTTGCATATGGTCTTGGGCTGCCTTCACATTACAACAGCAGAGTTGTTACAACAGGGACCATGTGGCAAAACACAAACAATGCATTACTTGTTGTTTATTTTTTATCACTATATATATGTACTAAAAGCATAGATAGATGCATGGATGTGATAAATAGTGAAATTAGGATATTGATTATCAAAGGAATGGATCAGGAAAGGATCCACAGGGAGCTTCAAGTACATTTATGTTGCTTTATTTCTTTTTTTTTTTTTTTTTTTTGAGACAGAGTCTCACTCTGTTGCCCGGGCTAGAGTGAGTGCCGTGGCGTCATCCTAGCTCACAGCAACCTCAAACTCCTGGGCTCAAGCAATCCTTCTGCCTCAGCCTCCCGAGTAGCTGGGACTACAGGCATGCGCCACCATGCCCAGCTAATTTTTTTTTTTGTATATATTTTTAGTTGTCCAATTAATTTCTTTCTATTTTTTAGTAGAGACAGGGTCTCGCTCTTGCTCAGGCTGGTCTCGAACTCCTGAGCTCAAACAATCCGCCCGCCTCGGCCTCCCAGAGTGCTAGGATTACAGACGTGAGCCACAGCGCGCGGCCTGCTTTATTTCTTAAGCTATGCAATATTATCTATACTTTTTTTTAAAACCCTAGCAATTTTCATAATTTAAAAAAAGGCTCTTAAGAAGACCTTAAATCCTATAGCACTGATAAAGATGTTTTTCCAGGAGATGAGCATAAAATTGAGTGAAATTTTCTTTATTTCTGAAAGAGAAAAATAAAAAGGAGAAAATAGTCAAGAACAAAGACTGTTCACATTTCACCTCTACTCATAGTCCTATTCCTGTATTTCCCTCTACTCGAAGGACCCTCCATTGCTCTGTGGATTTTGATCTCTTTTTGCCAAAGAGTTACACAAGTAACACATGAAAACATTTTTTAATAGTACAGAAATATATGTTATCTGCCTTTATCATCCCATATGTAACTTTTTAAGAGTCTGGTGGTTCAATTCTATCCTAGTCTTCTTCCTATGTATATATGTAATATGTATTCAAATAATATTTGGAATAAATGGATATGAGTGTATATGTAATATGTGTATTTATATGTGTGTGTACATATATTTTTGCCAAGTTGCCTTTTTCACTTAACATATTTAGAAAGTATTACTATGTCAGTTTACACTTCATTATTCTATTAACTAGTACATGAAATTTTACAATGTAGCCTTATTATAATTTATTTAATCAGTCCTTTATTGATAGCATTTAGGTTGTTTCCAATTCATTACAGTTAGAAATGCTGCTGCAGTAAACATCTTCATGTTCAAATCTTTATGTACAAATGTATAGGAAAACTTTTTTTTCTTCCAAGATAAATTTTTTTCCTGTTTCGATCTTCATTCACAATTACTTTAGGTTTTAAAATTTTATATGCACTGCATTTCTGTTTTCTTCCAAATGTCAGACAGCTTCATGGTGATTTGGTACTGCTCCAGGTTCAGTAAGGCCCATTACAACTCCCTTCCCCTCGCTGTGGCTTGAAATGTCACCCAATACAGAAAGAGACTCAACATGCAGAATATTTGTAGCACGTAGTTCAGCATACTCAGAATTAATAGTTGATGATGTTAAAATTTATAGCAATCACTTTATCATTAAGAATTTTAAAAGGTCTTGGTTTTCTGCACTGGTACCCTGTTGTTAGTCTTATAAAGATGTTGAGGATTTTATTTTGACACTTTACCAACATCACATTGTGGTTTAAATAGATTAGATTAAAAAGATTTCACTTGCTTTTGCTTTTCTCCTTTTAAATATATCTATTAAAATATCATGTTCTGCTGGGTTCAGTTTAACTGCTGTAATTCCGTAGCATCTCCCTGACCATATGTTTTGATTCCTGTACCTCTATAAACTATAGCTATATGTAATTACTTGCTGGCATTATGTCTTCTAAGCTATAAGAGAAACATTACTTTTGCTGGAGCATCTGTAATGCCATAAACAAGGTGAAAAATTAAAGTGTATACAGGTTTTGTCAGGGGGGGAATCCTTTTGCAATGGGAGATGTGAACGAATTAACAGTTTATGTCATCCTACAGAGAATAGATACATATTTTGTTGTTTTATTGCGGTTTTAAGAAATGTAACTTTAGCATTTCCCCCTAGTGTGATGGGAATGAAAATGAAGCATTTATATATTGTATCGGTTGGGTAATTGAAAAGTTTTATTGGCTGGCCTACCACTGCCATAGTACTTAGTATGGGGATTTTCTGAAGTTGTTTCAAATTAAACTATCACCAGGCAGTTAACTTTGGAACAGCAGCTGGTCCTGTATTTATTACATTTTCTCAAGATGGGCATATGTGGCCACCGATTTCTTAGCAGTCCAGGGAACACATGGAACTCCAGGCCCTTAAATTATTTCATCTTAATTCTTTCTTCTCTTTCCCTTGGGCTATACTTTATATTAGTTTTTACCTTTCTGCAGTATAATTTAGAAGTAGTTATTTTCACAATTCTACAAAATCTATATTAAAGAGCTTGTATTTGAGTGAACTTTGTATATATCTTTGTGGCTCTCAATCTGTCCATAGGTTACGGTTTTATTTCAACTAAGAAATATCCTTATGCAATTGGACTTCAAATTTTCATGCAGATATTTTCCCTTATTGGCACAGCATACATCACATTCTTCAAAACTATTGATTAGGACTATAAACCACAAAAGCCTACTAACAGATTCCTGAAAGAATCTGAGTCTGGACAGAATTGCTAAACAGTCATTCAGTAGCCCAGTCACCTCCCATCTCATTATACTGCTGTTGATCAGAATTCAGTCTTGTCCTTATAGGTAAAACCAGAAATCAGGCCTGGTCCCAAGAATTCA